TTCACTGGTGTTTGGCTTTGTTCAGCTATTGTGCATTACCTGGTTTTTTAGAAACATATCAATAGATTCCTTTTTGCATTGTTAATGATGTTTGCTACAATGGAATTGTATGTATAAGCATATGGGATCTTGTAGATTAGGACACCCCATTGTTGCATGACCTGTTGTTAGAAAGATTTAGAAATGTAGTAAGAAAAATTCTTGTACCATCTCTTTTGTTGGCTACTGGGTTTAGTGATACAAGATGAACTCATGGGTTTTGTTTGAACAAGTATGTGATCGATACACAAAGGGTTTTAGTCTCTGTTAGAATGTTACTTAATTTTCTTTATGAAAAATCATAAATGGGCGATTATAAAAAAATTAATCGGCAAAATTAAATAACGATAAGTTAAATAGCAATTAAATAGAGTAAATAAGAACAGTAAAATAGAATGAAGAGGAAGATTAATAGGTAGTCATAGGTCACGTATCATTTTGCACTTGTATCCCCTTTTTATGAACTTAAATAATTTGTATCAACAACAACTTGTAGTCTTCATTTTAGTCCCAACGACATGCAAGGAAGTTTTATTCCTTTCTTTTTATATCGTCTTTATCCTTTCTATCAATTATGTGATTGAGATATGCGCTTGAGGATCTTGAGATGAGATTACACTTATTGTTTAACTCTTTTTAACTATCATGCATGGATATATTGGAGGACCTAAATGTATATCATGTTCTTCGCCGAAAAAGTGCATATATACAAGCCTTCTAGTGTTGGAAAAAAGAAATCATGCCTCATGAATAGTTTTTAGTTCTTTAAGATGTTTTGGGTTGTGTTTTCTCTCCATGGATATGTAAGAAAGAAGGAATTACAGCTCTAGTGGTTTGTGAAATACCCTTATAATGAAATAGAGCATGGATGATTTCTTTTTTTTTTTTAAGTTTCCCCTCATCACCATTGTAACATTAGTACTTGAATGTTCGGAATTGTGTAATCACAAACATACAATATTTACGATACATGTACTATGATATTTAAGTAATGTGATCTACCTCATTGATAACTTATTGATTGATACAAGAGGAAGTATGTAGGTTTCCATTATAAAAGTGGCGTAGACTAGTCCTTCGACTTGAGATAACTACTGTTATCTTATGAGCGTTCCACCATCTTTAATATTATTAACTTACAAAATCTATAAACCATACAGAGGTAGCATTAGTTATAATCTGGACCTCATGAAGGTGAGTTAGTACCTAAAATGGATCTAATTCATCACCTTTATTGGATTTATACTATGTAATTGATGGTATTTTAATTTAAGAAATATTTTATTGGCAGAAGAATAATATTTTAGAAATGAGTTTAAAACTATATCATTGTAACTAAGTTAACCAATAATATTGTATAGAGATAGATTTACATGAGCTTGACATATTATCCGTACCTCATTGTTATTTGAAATATAACGAAAAGATATTAATAAGATTATTTGTAGAAAAGTTCATGTTTTTTCGAGATCATTATTGTTTCGCCATAAGTGTATTGTTAACATTACCAATGGATCATTTTTATTTGAAATATAACGGAATGATATTATTAAAATTATTTATAAAAATGTTTATATTTTTTCGAGATCATCATTGTTTCATTATAAGTGTATTGTTAACATTACTAATTGATCATTTTTATTCGAAATGTAATAGAAGGACATTACTAAAATTGTTTGTAAAAAAGTTCATGTCTTTCTGAGATCATCATTGTTTCGCCATGAGTGTATTGTTAACATTACCAATAGATCATTTTTATTCGAAATATAACGGAATGACATTACTAACATTATTTATAGAAATGTTCATGTTTTTCCGAGATTATCATTGTTTCACCATGAGTGTATTGTTAACATTACCAA